AGTTTATTCCGTTCGTTTTTTCTGAAAAATTTTTTCTCGCCAGGATTCACTAAAACTCACTTGGAAATGGACGTGATGCGAATCTAACTAACCAGACAAAATTTATTTCCTCTATTATTTCTAATATTGTTTCGATTGTTATCTGAAGATCACTTTATGAGTTTCATGAGAGTAAGTTTTCTGTTCCATGCACCTTCTTAATTTCTTTCATCTTGATCATTTCGAGCCGAAGCATCGATGTTTCGAAGATCGAATTAGATTCTCTTCTCTCTCCTCTCTCCCTTTTCTAACGATATATAAAAATTTCAGGGTCCACCAAACGGGTCCATACATCTGACAGTACCAAGAGCCCCGCCACCCCCTCGAGCAAAGAGCCCACCCGAGAATCAGCCCCTGTTGCAAAATGCCACCGTGTCGAGTCGCGTGTCCCAGGCTACGATGAGTGAGATGAGAGTGTGATGTTTGGACCCCCCTCCGAAGCCAGTCGTGCCGGACGTTCTTACGGCATCGACGTTACTTTAAACAACAGCGAAATACCGTCTCGTCTGTGCCAGTCGAGCCTTTGCCCGATGAGAATAAAAATAAAAAATAAAAAAATATGTTAATGGGAGAACTCCTTTCAGGAAGATTCCATCCAAATTAAGAGCGAGCAACGCTCGACTGGCACCTGGCCTGAAAGCTTCTACCGTTTTCCATTTCCATCGTCCAGTTGACGACGACGCGCCGCAAAAACCAACGGAGGGGGGTGAACCGAGCTTTCGTTTAAAGCTGAAGGAACAATTGAAGATTATAAAGGGTATAGGAGTATCCGGTATTCGTCGAGGAAGAATAATTAAGTTTGAGGATGAAGATGTGTTGATTATCCGAAGAGGAAAATGAAATATTACTTTCTTCGAGCAAATTCTTTCGAGAAGGCTAATTTGAACGATGAAATTATTATTAAGAAGATCGAGAGAGGGATATCTGACGAGCGAGAAAGAAGATTTGTAGAGGAATCGGAGAACGAAGTGTGTGAATAGAGGAAATTCGAAAACTGAATTTTATACGAGTAGATTTCCCTCTAGATTTTCTGATAGAGATGAAAAATAAATAAATAAATAAATAAATGAGTCGCGTGTTCATCGACGGATACCAGAACCTCATCGTGATCGAGAATGGGTAGATGAATCGTGAATATATATGATCAATAAAATCGAAATTCTCGGTAACGTTAATTTACGAGGATCGACGATTTTCTTTCTACGATTTTTACGAGTCGGAGAAGAAAGAATTTCGTTTCGCACGATGACATCAAACGAGTATGATCAGCTAGCTAGTCGGTAATAATGAATTCTACGTGTTACGAAAGGGAAGACGCTCAAAACAAAAAAAAAAAATCGAGCATGAAGACTCGTGTATCATACGCTATCCACTACGATGTTAGATGTTCCTTGTATATATTTAATGAGAAAAAAGACAAAAAAGTGAATTTATACCATAAGTGAAAGCCAAACATGTTTGCTACTTTCTAAGAAGACATGTATTCGTGTCGCGTACAGTTTGATCGTCCGTTATATTCGTTTCATCATTTCGTTTTTCATTTTCTTCCTCTTACGATTGACTATAAACGTTACGCGGTGTGTGCGAGATCATTATCGCTCAGATCTTCATTGTGAAAATAAAAAAAAAGTTCATCGACGAGTCGACTCGTTTTTGCCTTTGATTGGTCAAAGAATCTTTTAATTCACTCTGTCTGATAAAAAATATTTGAATATTATAGATCAATCGAGCATTAAAATCGTTTTCATTTTTTTTTATTCTTTTTTTATTTAAGATATTAGGTGCCTCCTTCGCATAAGACACAATGGACCGTCCATTTTTTGCTATTATGATCTTTAAAACTCTGTTTAAATATATTCAGTCAATATTGAACGAGCTCCAAGCACTGTACTACAAAGGAATTATCATTAAGTTAATTAGGATTATCAGTAATTGATATTAAAATTATATATAAAATTTAAAAAAAATAATAAAAACTATGCCTATCATGGCATTTCAAATAGGAAGTTTTTCGAACGTGAATTTTTTAATTATATTATAACTACATAATATAAGAAAATAAGATTAAAAAATCGTAAAATTCCTTCCATTCGATCATAAAAATGGAATTAAAATATCTGGATTTACATATATTGATATAACGAATTCTCTTTTGCCAATCAAAAGCTTCGATCGTCGATGAACGGTGTCGTTCAACTTCGTCTCATTGTTATAATACCGTAATTCAGAATGATATCATTTCATCAAATAAAATCAAACTGAACGACGCTTTCGAAATGTGCCGTTCCGACGATGAACATTTATGTAAAACGATATATGGATAATTACCATCTTTTTTACGCTTTTGGTAACATATAAATCTCTCAGCGAGAAAATTTTCATTTCATTCGAATTATCACGAATATACTATTGACAAAAATAAAAAGAAAAAAAAAGACGAGTGAAAATGGAGTGAAAATGATCGTGTGCAAAAAAGCTCGATTTACATTTGTTCAATCAAATATTATTCAATTTTTTTGATAGATTTTAATCTAAACATATTATAATAAAAATTGTTATTCCTTTATTTATAAAAATAATTCATTATAATATATTGTTGTTAATCTAACTCTCAAAATAATTGAATAAATTTTTTTATTATTTTACTATAATTTGATAAAAATTTGAAATATTATGTTTGAATTTTATGTTTTATTTAATATCATATTTTACCAATTTAATTACAGTATGATCGAATTATAATACAAGCTGTATAATAACGATTGTATCAAGTAAATAAATTGCCAATGTAAATCGAGCTATATAGTCCACGAATCGATGATACACAAACATGGTTATTGGTTAAGCAAATGTGTTAAAAATAACCATATACCATGAATGTGGATTTAATTAAGATTTCTAAAATACTATCTTAAAGGAAGTCGACGATAGAGTCGTTGAAAGAGAAAAAAAAAATTTATAATAAAATAAATTAGTCGATTCGCATTCGGATCCAAAATATAAGTGATTTTTTTGTAAAAATAAATAAATACATATAGATGTAACATAAAGATTAACATAAATCTGTTATCGTGCGTAATACACTGCCACTGAACATGTAAATTCACGTAAAAAAAGATAAAGAATTCCGATCGGTCGATTCAAATTCAAAACCAATGTGATTTGAATCTTTGAAGCATCATTTTAAATTTTAATAATATTTTATAATTTTTCTAAAAAATCAATAATATATATAATTTAAAATATTATATTTTTATTACTTCCACATAATTTATTATCATATTTTTATTGCTTATCATTAGCTAAGAAACAATATTTAAATATGAAATTCTGATCTAAAGTATTATATATTAATATGTGAATCCTTTCTATTAGACTTACCCATTAATTTATCACTTTGTTCGATGTAATAGTTGTTGTTAAAGTTGTTCAATAGATTGATTTTTTCAATACATTCGAAAATTTTGCTCCAAAGAGTCAATCACAGAACAGAATTTAACACTTTCACTGTTATCGAATAATCAAACTATTTACAATGAAATCGAAAATTAAATATTTATTTCTATTACTATTTATACGATAAATGAAATGATGAAAATCAAAGCCACGAAACGCTTTTAAACTTTTTAATCACAAAAGCGCCATCTGAATAACAGACATGTTAAAGGAAGTTTTCATGGTTGATCGACTTAAAATCTTGTTTTTATAAAACCATCACATGAAGACCGAGCTTAAGGAAGAAAAGAGTATGTGTTAATACAAAACAAAGAAAATCAAAATTTTTTTGTACATACAATTAAGCTATTAAAAAAAATAAATCAAAGGATGTGTTTATGATATTCTCGCCTGAATGATAACGATCGAAAAATTTATCGATCAGTTTTAGTATCATTGTGAATGCATAGAAACAACTGGAAAAATATTCGTTATCAAATAAAGTCTTTTTTAAGATGACTTGCGGAATTTCGTGAAAAAGTTACGTAATAAATATCATTAAGTATGGACAATCCGAATATACTAAAGACTAAAGATGAAAGAAATAATAGTAGATTTAATTAAGAAACAAATCATGATCGGTAAAGAAGGGAATAATGGCGAAGAGACATACTGAACCGGTTAAACAGATGTTTAAGGAAATTTAAATAACATATATTAAATACACATATTATGGATTGTAATGAATTTATTATGGCGAATATTATTATATTTATGTGATTTTTAGCTGGCCTCGCGTTCCACTGAGAAGATTCCTAAAACAAATCTTTCGGCCGAAGGCAAGGCTACCTGTTACGTTTAACATTTCTGTTATCAAATTGTAAATATATAACAAAATACATGGTGATATTAATTGTACGTGTTAAATATTTTTCCCACCTGTAATAGATTTATTTTATTCAAACTTTTTTGAACTACAAATAAACAAGTTAGTCTTAAGAAGATTTTTAAATATATTATTTATTAAATATATATTAATATATTTTAAATAAGAGTGTTTTTTTTTCATCTATACCAAGCAATCAGAGAAAATATTGGGATAAATTATGGAATTAACACTATTTTTAGAATATCATAAATGAAATTAAATACATAAGAACAGCAAATATAGAAGAAAAATAGAAATAGGATAAGAGTTAACTACGCCATCTCTTGAGTATGAGAAAGAAACAACTTTCTAAAAATATTTTAAGTAATGTTAATGATATATTTCTGCTCTATTATTATATTTTTCTATTTCCTATTTTTTCTTTATATGTTTTATTTATAATTATAATTTGTAATATAATGTTTTATTTCTATTATCTATTTGTTCTTGATGCATAATCACAAACATTATATTGGATATTAATTGAATATACAATTTTCCGCGAATATAAATATTGTATTAAACAATTCCTAAAAACAAAAATCTAAAACTAATATAAATGAGAGAAATGTCAAAAAAGTATAAAAGAAATTTTCGTGTTACATAAGAAACAGTTTTCTATGTTATATGGAAGAAATGATACAATGCATTTTATTCGAAATCATATTTTTAGATATTTTCACGATATTATAAAAAAATTATCATTTCTCTTTCAAAAGTATATCTTAATTCCTCACTTTATAATTATTTAATATATAATACCTAATTTAGAAAATATTAAATATTCAAAAAATAGATTAATTTATAAAATAATAAAACAGTCGTAAATAAAATGTATAATAACGTTTTACACATTTGTAAATAAAAATATATGTATGTTATATTCTTGCAAAGTTTTAAATTATGTTTTTAATTATAAATTAAATTAATTTAGAAACGATATCGAAAGCACGAATACGTGTAAACGGTGTGCCTGTCGACGCGTAACTGTGGCTTATCCCTACCCCACGAGTAACTATAAGTCGACGGCCAAGATCGCGCATCGACGGTATAGTTCGAAATATATAAACATTTACGTCTTTATATATTTCGAATGAATATCTTAATTTCCTTTATAATTTTATAATTTTTAATATTATACGTTATTATTTTATTATTTATGAATGTTTTATTATTTATAAATTTCATAATTTATTGATGTAATGGAAATATAATTCATTAAATTTATTAATTTTATACTGCTTATTAATATTTTCTTGAAAATTATTCCAGAATCTATTATATATTTTTAAAAGATTTACAATATTTACAATATTTAAGTATTTTTGTCTTGACTAAAAATATCTTTCTAAAATCACTCAAGAGATGGCTCTGATAGTCAATTAATATATTAATTGACTATTAATATAGTATTTTTATTTTTATTTTGCTATTGTTTTTGTGTATATTTTCTCTATAGAATTAATTTATAAATTTATATATTTACAATAAAATAAAAAAATAATAAGATCTTTTCAAAGATCTATAATTTATATAATGTAAAAATATATTTATAAAAAACATGTCATCAAATAAATTATTTTTAAAATCTATTGACTTTACCAACTTTTGTGATTGAATTATATATAATTCCTATACTTATTATTCTAAATCATAGAGGGCGTACTGAACACTATTTTTTTTTACATGATCGGTATTTCAGAACATGAAACATAAAATTCTACTAAATATTATACCTTGTCTGTATTATGAAAGTGATAAAAACAAGAATTAATTAAGTGTAAAATTAAATTACAGGTAAAATAAATAATAATAAATAATTTTCTATCTAGAAATTTTTTTCATATGGATATAGTGATTGAAATATTGTAATCATTATGATTATATCAACAAAGACAAAATTTTAATATTATTTAATTTTTTTTTATGAAAACAGAATATGATATTTATATATGACTAATAATTATATATATCAATGTATAAATTTTAATCCAATATGTACAATATGTAAATCAAAACAATCATTATTTCCTATATATTGAAAATTGCTTTAAATAAAAGTGTATAGCAATATGTTTATTGTAAGAAGCAGATGGTAATTTGCTGCGTAAGATACGTAATTTAAGAATAGTATGAGTGACGTGATGTCTGCTGAGAATAGCAGGCAAATGTTTGTTTCGATAGAGAACTCTGTATAAGCGTACAAGTTTAATAGCTGCCTGGACTCCAAAGGAACAACATGTATCGAATGATTGCTGTAATTCTTATCGTATGCTTGTACTTCTCACCAATGTATCGAGCCATTAATATCGATGATTGTGGTAAGTTTGATTTCACTAATTTAATTAATCATCTAATAAATATTTTCTTCAGTTACAAAATTTATACAATACAAAATATATTATCGTGAAAAAAAATAATAAAAAGAATACATAAACATAGTATAATTATATAAATTAAAAATCAAATATAAAAACTTATTCTTTTTCTTTATATTAGATAATATTCTGAATAGTTAATCAGTATCAGTAATTTTTAAAAAAATTAGAAGAAAAATATGAAATATTAAGTTACTTATATCATTATTATAAATATTATTTATTAATTACCTGCAATATCATAAAATTCTTTGTAAATACAAAACAATCGAAATCGTTTATGTTGATAATTTAACTTATCTTTTCTTTAATGATAAAAATTTTATTATCTACTTAATAAATATTTTATTTCGTTTTTAGATATATTAAAAATAATTTTAATATAATTATAAGTTCAAATTAATAATTAATAATTTTAATTTTCTTTTTATAATTTATAATTTATATTGCTAGAAATAAAGATATAATTACTTTTATTTAATTTTAAAAAATTCATCTTACTAAATTTTACTTAATTATTGATTAAATAACATACAATTAATATAATTGTATATAATCGTAAAAATAACGGAAATTCTTATCTTAGAAATTGAAAGTCATGATATATACCTTTTTGTCTGAAGAATCGCCACTACCATATATTAATTTATTTACGTAAAAAGTATGTACGAATATATAAGAGTATATTAACTTCAAACTTTTGTAGCCTATAACTTAATAAAAAGTAAAAAATAGTAGTACTTAAAATTAATCTGATTTATTTTTAAAATATAATCTTGTTTACATAGGCTCAAAAGTGGGAAAACTTACGTCTATAACTTTAGACTGTGATATGACCAAAAGTGTATGTGACTTAATACCAGATACGAATGCAACAATTCGAATCGATTTTACGCTCGGTTAGTATATTTCTTTATTTAAGTATTTTCTTTCTTTTAAGTATAGCATTGTTAAAAAAAGAAAATACATTTTTACAGAAAAAGATGTTTCAAAAGTTAATGCAATTGTGCACGGTATTGTAATGGATATTCCTATACCTTTCCCATTACCAAATGCAGATGCTTGTCAAACTCCTGATTCTGGTATTACATGTCCTTTAAATAAGGATGAAACTTATCACTATAAAAATACATTACCCGTGCATAAATCGTATCCTAAGGTACTATCAATAATTATATATTAATCTGTTTTTTATATTATATTTTGTATTATCGATTTCAATTATTAAATTATAGGTGAGTGTTACTGTAAAATGGCAACTTAAAGATGAAAATAATGAAGATATTATTTGCGTGCTAATTCCGGCTCGAATTAAATAGATATTAAATGGGTATTATTGTTTCACAATATATTATAATTATTTTCAAAGAAGTATATATTTTACAAAAATTGTATGAAATAAATACAAAGAGGACTAAAAATGTCAATTTTATACATTTCATAATATGAATTATTTTAATGTACAAAATATACAAGAATTTCATACAGTTTTTATTGAAATGAATACATGTAAAATAAGAATATATTATATTATAACAATAAATAATAAATGTTCTTTTTTCAAATATATAACAAATTTGGACATTTTATAAAATAAAAAATAAAATTATTAAATAGGAATTATTATGAAAATATATAAAGCTCATGTTAATTTATAAATTACTTATTTTATGTGATATTATTTAATTTCAAGCAAAGATAAAAACTTTTAGAGCTAGATAATTAAATTTACTTAATATATGTCATTTTGCAATGAATTTAAAATTTTTAAATATTAAATAACATAATACCCTTTAATTTTGCTAGATATCTATATATTTAGATATCTTTTAAAATGCGTCGACGTAAAAAATGTTACTTTTTTATTAAGTTTATTCATCTAACCTAAAGTAAGTCTTTTGGTATTTTCAGCATTCTCAAAAAAAGTAGTCAACTATCCATTGTATCACATTTATCCTCTGTTCTTTCAGTATCCATTTGATGGATAGTTCTTTTGGTTGTTTGTCTCAATAAACATTGTTGTTTACTTTTTAATGTTTTCTGAGCTTGATATATTGGTTCATATTCTCTCAGTTGCGCCATGAAACCTTCATTAGGATTTATACAAAACCTTCTTTGTTGTACTATTGCATATGCACATCTAGAAAAATATACTTTTAATAATTTCTCAAATGAAGTATATAAAAAATTTTATAAAAATAAAAAAAAAAGAAAAATAAGAATTTACGTTTGAGAAAGACCATATGTTTCCATAACATATGCTAAAACTAATGCAGCAGATCTTGATATACCAGCATTTCCGTGAACTAAAACTTGGCCACCAGAATTTAAACCTTCATCAATAAAAGCTTTTACCTTTGGAAAATGTTGGATAATATTTTCTGTTGCTGTATCAGCAATATTTAAAACAAGATATCTATAACATTCATTATTAGCATAGATAAACAATAATTATTCTAAGAATGTGAATTAATCAATTTTATATAATACATACTTAAATTTATCAGGAAAATTGGGTTTTATAAAATTTGCTTCTATATCCTGTCTAACGCATACTATATGAGTTATGCCATGTTCTATCAAAGATTGTAATTTTGATCGGCTAGCTGCACTATATGGACCAAGATATAATCCAGGTACCACTTCCTAATACAAGGTAACTATTGATTTAAACTATATATTTTTTTAAGTATTTTTTAATAAAATATATGCATTCAATATACCTGCATATGTCTTCTCATTGTATAAGTCCATTCTTTTGGTCCATCCATAGAAACAGGTATTCTTGGATAATCATCAGATCCATTTTCACTAGTGGTTTCCTATAGAATATTTATATTTCAGCCTATTATATTTTATTATATATAATTATTAGAAAAATTACAAAATATTTAAGGAAGGTAATATTATTAATAACTAAAAATATATTATAAATAATATTTATTTTCAATTTAATATAAATTTCAATCTAAAAATATAAAAAACAAAAAAGACATAACATATCGTTGAATTTGAACACCAGTTTTTATAAGTATAATAAAATAATAAAATAGATTGCGTTTTTGAAAATATGTACAAAGAAAAAATGTCACTGACAGATAATATAACCTAAAATTCAAAGAATACATTTTTTTATAATACTTTAAAATCGATTACGAACAGCATACCTCATCCTGATGAGATTCATTATTATCTAGAGAAAGCATACCACTAATCTTGTGAACTTAAATGCGTGGAAACGTTGAATTTAGGTAAGAAAATGAGAAATATAGTTTTCTCGTTCCCGCGATCACGATATTGTTTTTTGAGGTAGCGGCCATTTGTAATATAGTAGCTACAAAAGCTACAAAAGCGTCCTCTAGTGTAGAATATCTAAAATATAAATTTTGATCATTTTATATTTTTTATCCTTATAAATTTTAAGAAAGAATACTTTCAGAATCATTGAAATCCACATATAAAATAAATTATAGACACTAAAATACAATTAAAATAATAATTTTTATTATTTTAAGAAAATTCAAAGAAATTGCATTTAAAATGAATATCACTTTACTTGCTGATACTTCCGGAAGCGTAAGAATTGATTTTAATATTCAAACTAAATCGAATAAATATTGTATTAATTTATTGAATAATTTTTATTCGATAATAAAATCATGTAAAAGATTCCGTTTGTTTTCAATGAACAAAAAAATGTTTCTTATAAAAATATTTATAAAAAAAATAGCACAACTACATTTTAATAGCGATATCGTTAGTCAAATTGCGTAGCCAAAAGATTTCCCGTTTCACAAAGAAAAGAGAAACGGTATACTTTCGATCACGAGTTGAACGGTGCAATTTAGTTACGAACTGTTTAATACAAAGTTTTACGAGGCACCAATTCCCTGTTGCGGTAACCTGCACGTATTTTCTTCCGGGACGTAATACAATATTTTATAACTATCGCCACGCTTTCGCGATGAAAGTTCATGCATGTGGTGGCATCAGTTCGCAATTTTGCGTGCGTGCTTCATGTCATGCGTTTTACCGGAACAGCTGATAGATTTCTTAGACGCATCAATGCCCGAACTTTCGCGCAAAATAGTCATTAACACAAGTTATTAGTTACTAGATGTGTAAATCTTACAATGTGCGCAAATCTTCATTTTTTTGATTTATTATTATCTCGTAACTTCCTTCCTTGAAATTATAGTTTAAGCAATTTTTGTTTACATCATTTATATGTTTTAATTTAATGCTTTCAGTTGTCTTGATTTGATGGACTTATTATTAAACCAAAGGTATTCGTCAATTCGTCAAATTCATACTATTTTATAGAGGAAATGGCAAAAACATGGAGTATTCTCTAAGTTTTAGCTGTTATAATAAATTAGAGGTAATTTTCATACAATGGAAGAATTCACTTATCAGTTTTCTAAGTTCAGAGATTAGAAGTTTTTAAAATGAATAAAAAAAAATCAAATTGCTTGCGTCATTGGTAAAAGGAAATAAAACAATAAATATCTTGATTGTTATTTTATATGCAGTAATTTCTTTTCAATGAATTATAAACTCAACGTAATTTCGATTGATTTAGAAATGATTGAAAAAATGAAATAATACAATGATTTATTGTAATACGATCAATTTTTTCATGGAACATCATAATTCATATATCTTTTAATTGTCAATACTTTTTATATTTCCATGATAATGAATATGATAATGTACACCATTACAAACTTGCAAACTTTAATTCTTTTCAGATCTAATATCGCAAGATTTAACGCCTTCCTTTCGATTCAATGTTACAATTTGTGTTACGTTAAACAAGGGTTGCTAGATCTTTGCTCTCTTCGGTAACACGGTTGCCGCCACCGTGGTCCGTATAATTAAATAATTAAACAGGTAACAGCCGTCGGCGTTACTGCTCTGCCACATGGAAGTTTACTTTCTAAGCTCGTTGGCGTGTTCAGCATTCGCAGATATGGGAATCCGTGTTGCCCCCAGGGGATCTGCATCGAGATTGTTGCAATCGCCATCCATGGCTCGTGAATCTAGAGCACACGTTGGACACACAGAACTTTCAATCACTACTGTTTTATTAATTTATTTTCTCGATAATCAAATGTCACTTGTACACTTTTTCGTCTTTCTTCTTTTTAAAATCCAGTTCCTTTTAGATCATTTCATGAAATATATAATATTTTTAAATTTTTGCGAAGTAAATAAATTCGATTTTTTATTTTTTTTTCTAAATATACTCACTATTAGTTCACTTACTCGATTTAGTTGTTTAGGAATGTGAAGAAATTAAAAGTAACGTTTGGCTTTTCCAATATTTCGTTCAGTTAGTTCGTTAGCAATAAAAAAATGGTTCGATAAAGAAATATCTCATATGAAACTTGACAATTATTACAATTATCTGTTCAGAAATTTTTATTAAATTTTATTATCCAAATTGTTATGAATTTAATAACAAACTTCCATTCCTTCGTTTGAAAGCGATTAGAACTCTATAAACATCTCGAATGCTGTATAGTTTTTTCCCCTCGTGTTCCAAGAAAAACAAGTCTTATTATTTCGAGAACCAATCTTGCAAGTCCTAATTGTCAGGTCACCCGGTATGCTGTCCCTTCGGCAATGTCCACTTTGCGAACGTACAAGAAATCACATTCTGCCATTCGTCGATCGGGAACGATCGAGGTTCACTAGGACAAATTCAGCGATCTATCGAGAAGAAAAATGCACCGAGGGAATGTATTAGAAACGACCACCTTAACTCTCTGCGATTTCGATCCATCCAGCATGAATAATGTCACGATGATTTATCGTGTCTTCGCGTAAAAGAAAGTAACAGCATGGAAAGTTATTTTCACTTCGGATGGCAGATGTAACAACAACGTTCAATACATTTCCTGTCACATGGAACATTTTTATCGTTTTCGTTACGCGCAATAGATCGAAACGCGGAGAATAATTATTTGTATATTTCGAGGACAATACTCATCTCTCCCTAAGCGAGAGCAACCACGAAAAATTATATTTTATACGGAAAGATTTAATAAACCGGACTATGATGACTCGTTCAATAATTGACTTGCGTATTTAACTGCCCCGTAATCGTATATTTAATTTAACACATCGTGATGCGATTGGAATGATTTAAAATTTTTGCATGCAAATCTCTCTGGATTCGAATACGAATTTTTTTTTTTTTTCGTTGGTCGCACGATCGTCCGATTCATCGCTTATCGTCCGATTTCATCAGTAGTTCTCTAATTGTTACGGGGAAGTTTGGAAAGCATTCACTTTGGCAAGAAGTTGCGAGCAAATTGATATTGCACAGTGTTCAGAGGAGGAAAATACAACGTGAATTTTTATCGCGATCGAGCCACGATGATTCATCTTTTCCAGTTACCCTGGTGAGAATATAAAAATTTAGAAAAAGGCGTATTGCGTTTTGTGCAACACTCTCGTTCACAATTATAACGTATTAAACTGTGGAAGGAAAGGATTCGGGTAAGAAGCAGGGAGACTTTGTGCTTTGCTCCAAGAGAGATAATGAATGAATAGAATTAATTCTATCAGTTTATTAATAAAGATCTTTGCAAAGAGTGCAATCGTAACAAATAAAATGATAATTATAATTGTATAATTAAAAAATTCGTATTGTCTTATTCTTATCTTCGAATAAATCTTGGAATATCTTCAAATAAATTGAAGGATCCGTGGTTAAATGTGTGGGCCACTATTCATGCGACCATCGAATTTAATTGTCGATGTCATATCAGAAACTGTTTTAATAATTTCTTAACAATCGTTAATTTATAAATTCTCGATATCGTGAGTTCTATGATTGTATGATAATTTGAATGGCGAGATTAATCGGCGGAGATACAATTTTCAGTAACCAGATAGGATTGGAACAATGGAGGATCGCTTTAATTCCTCTGACTCATAATCTGTGGCGACCGACCGATTTTATCCGAAAAGAACGAATTGCTTAATTCCTCGAGCTTCCTCAACGGCTCGGTTTCTTCGTTGTGACCGGCGTTGCTGAACCGTTAATCACGAAATTAAATTTTTCACGATCTCGGTACACGTATATCTTCACTGTGGAAAACTCGGGCGATGTATTTCGAATTTCTGCTCGCTCGACGGAGCGTGAATTTCTTTCTTGTGCGTTTCTTTTCGCGTTTTATCTTTACAACGTTAATTAACACGTTGACTGCAATGTTGCGCATATTTTAACGCTAGTAAGTTTTTTTTTTGAAGTTACGCCTTATCGAACGTATCGTTCCATTTCCATTCTTAAGAAATTAAGAAATTTCTTGTATTCTTAAAGCGAACAAACCATTTTGTATAGAAAAAAAGAATTGCCTTATTATTAGCTATAAGTCATAGAAGAGTTAAAACGATTTTATTAAATATATAAATTTATTTATTTGCGAGATATTTATTTTTCAGAATTATAATTTAATAATATATAAATTGTTTAATTAATGGAGCGTCATATCATGTTGATTATGAGTTATGAATAGCGACAATTATTGTTCAATGATCGTGTAAACGTCCTAGTTTATAGAGAATTGTGCATTTCTGTAAGATATCGAGTGAATAAATTAAACGTTTAATGAAACGAGATCGTGTTACGTTAGCCCCGCTCATTAGCAAGCGATTGAACTCGATTCATTCGATCTCCACTAACGTAGAATTCATTTTCGACGTCGATTTGCTCGAGGCCTAAGTATTTATAAATCAGAAAAAAGGAATCGCTTCTCTTTTAACCGAGATCAGGAAACGAAATAATTTTTTTTTAATTAACAATTTATCCTGGGAATAGACGCATATATTTGAATTTTGATCGTAATGCAAAGTTCTCTCTAACATCTTGATTAAAAAGAATATTTCAAAAGACTGTGATAGACTTTTTCTTCATTCTCAATTGCGTTCGAAAGAAGAAAACGGAGGACCAAAAGGAAATAAATTTTGCAGAATAATTATTGTTTCTGCAATAATATCTATAATTATTGTTTCAAAGAATAATATCTTCACGAAATAGTAAAAAATATCGATTCTGTCATTTTTAGCCAATAGTTTTAGCGAAATGGTGGTCAGAGAATATAACGAGGATCATTATACCTTCTAGATTTTGCAAGCATTCCAATTAACATCCGCACAGGGTTGTCTTTCCGTTTTTGCGGTGGTGTATGTTCGGAAACAACGAGTGCGGCGCGTGGAAAATTAAAAGTCCGTAAAAGTCCGAGTGGCGTGCTGCAAGATGGTCGAACGTTCCCGCGTTGATTGCCAAATTGGATCGGTAAAAAATATTTTCCACAGTCGACTAACCTATGGAAATCTGGAGAGATTCACACGAAAAATTCGCGTCGTTTCCCTCGAGCTCGTGGAAACAAAGGGACGATAATCTGGGAACGGTAACCTAACTTGGAAACGTAATGAAAAGACGATACTTTAAACGTGCATCGTTTTAACCCGCATCTCGCGTATCTCGCGTTAGATTGCAATATCGTTGCATACCCATTCCATTCTTGCGATTTTGTTGCATCTATATATTGTTGCGGTATATATCCGAGTTTAAGATTCGATTTCGATTAGCGCAGTTTATATTCAATGAGCTATTGTATACGAAGCAAATATATAGCTTGAGAATCTTATATAAGACTGGGAAATTTTGTTATCAGTATACGTAACGAAGAACAATAATTGTTGATCGGAGTGATGAATTATACAATTCGTTTTTTTTTTTTTTTGTCAAAAATTAAGATCATTAAGTTCGTTTTAAGATCAGATCGCGTCTCTCTTCTATCCTTGTTTAATGTACGACCTGTCTAATTAAGCGCGGAGAATTTTTTTTAGAATTTATCGGAAATCTTGGGACAGATGGACGGGTCAAAAGCGTCGTTAGCAGAATGGCGAAAGATTGGCCAACTGTCCGGCGCACTCCCATGTAAAGGGCGGCAAGTTTTCTCAAAAAGGAAATCGAACAGGCCAAAGGTATCGAGAAAAGTTGCTTTAGAGAAACCGTGCCAAGGTGGAAACTTCGCGCGAATCGTTGCAACCTTCGTGTGTCTGAAGATCACGCGCGAAAGAGATATTTTTCTAAAATAGAGGATTATCTTGTTCTTTTTTTTTTTTTTCGTTTCGTTTGTCGTCTCGAAGAAGAAAAAAAAAACTATGGGATCGACAAGCGTGACAATTGGCGATTAGTATCGCTTGGTTATGCGATACAAGTTTATTTCGAATCGCGAGGAAATTATAAGAGAGTTTCTCCGCTTGGAAAAATTGAAAATTTTAATTCGAAACGGTGGAAAAGGATTCGAACAATATGAATGCACAATCGAGATATTCTTACGAGTTTACTCGGATTCCATTGGCTCGTTACGTTACAGAAAGTTGGCGTTTACTACGCTTACGAAATTGGCGAGTCGTAAAATCCAGTCTATTAGCGACGCGGGGAATAATTGGGATAAATAGGGTGGGAGAGATGAAAATTGAAACAGAATTTTACATCGTTTTTCTTTCTTTCCGTACATTTATTATCCGGAATTGCATAATATTCCTCGGATCAAAAACGTGTACGAGGAATTTCGCGTTGCACCCGCTGCAAATGGATCGATTTGGCAACGATTTTTCTTTTCTTTTCGCGATTGTATTAATATTTGATCGTAGAAATCGATAGAGTTACGATCGAGAATAAATTTGAATTTTAAATTTTACGTTATGCACTTTTACTTTTTTTTTTTTCTAGGTTGCATCATTGAGTTAATATTTTGTTTCTTAATATGAGAAATAGATATTAATAAAATTAGGTGAATGTTGTAGGCCAAACCACTGGGTATAAAATTTTTCATGTTTTGGAATTAGATAAAAAAGATATTATCCGTTTAATCCATTAGTAAGTAAAATATTGCTAATGATTGTGTTTTATTTAAATTTAGGATATGAAATAATTTCATTTTTCTTTTTGTAGCGCTTTAAGAAAACACGTGATACACGTTATAACTTTGCTAGCGTTTTGCCATAAATGAAAAACAATAAATTCACTTTTCTAAATTCCGTTTTTTTCGATCTAACGTAAAATTTTTTTTAGCGTGTATTCGACTTTCTATTCGATTCAACTGAATTTTTCAATGAAAATCAATGTTCAAAATGCAATTTTGAGCATATAGTTGTTGTAACTTTTTTATTAAGCGGTATTAAATTTTAAAATATAAATAAATAATTATCTTTAATAATAGTAAATTCGTATTGTACGAAGGTAACAAAGTACATCGAAGTGAAAAATAAAGTGAAAAATAAGAGGGAAAGGTAAAATGGAAAATTTCACAAAAGGATCGACGAAACTCGTTACGTCAATTTAACCGGAAGTCGGGCTTAATTTTTCGTTGTGCAATTCTGCCATCGTAGTTTCAAGATGATTGACACGATATTGTAATATGGCGGACATGGCAAAGACATTCATTATCGATTTAAAATGCACGGATTATGAGTAGAAAATGACGTTTAATAGATCATCGAGCTTTCACAGCTTGTATAAAAATATTTCTCACAAATATTTTTCTCATCATTTATCGGCGAGGCAGCTATTCACCTAAATTTATACGACTTTTATTTTCATTCGCGAAATATATTAATATCGTTTTTTGCGGAAGAACGTGAAACACGTATCTTGTACGTATCTCCCTCTTTCCCAGATATTTTCTCCACAAGTACAAGCGTAACGCGGAAAGATCAGCAGGATTTGCAACTTACATAATATCCAGATTATACGTAAATCACTCGTCGCGTTAATTTCCAATTAACGTTGAGAAAAAAGGAAAGGAAAAGAAAAAGGAAAAAGAAGAAAAATCAATGACAATTGGATCGTTCGAAGGAAACGACGAATCCTTGATGAATTTTTCTTATGATCTCTCCAACTGTCACGTTTCTCCTCGCCATCGGCAATTCCGTCGCTCAAACAAGCAAACTGGGTCAATTTTATACGAAGATTTCGATTTTTTTTTTTTTTTTTTTTCGTAAACAAACTTTCCTTATTGTAGAAGAAGAAGAAGAAAACTTAAAAATGTTCAGGGTGTCGTCGCGAGTTGACGGAAGTGAAACGATTCGAACGGTCAACGGAACACCGAATAAGGGGTCCGAAAGGGTCGATCGGTATTGGTGAAAGGGGTCCGTATGCAATGCAACCGTTGTACCCCCGCCTCATCCTGGCTCCTTGGGCCTGGGCAGGGCACCGCTATAAAAGCAAACCACGTCGCCCCTCAGATACGTAGTGTTTTCCCGTGTACTGCACAAGAAAAATCACCCACAATGAAGTTCGTCGTAAGTTTCTCATCGGCGGTTGCCAACGAGTTGCTCGTAGTTTCTCCGGGCCTCGTGCATACACGTATCCATTTTTTCCACTTTAAAATTCATCATTCACGTTATTCTTATATTACTGTTCATGCATTTCTTTGAATTTCCAAAGTAAACGAAATGTAATCGAGTTCGAGTTGATATTTAAATATATCGAGTTAATATTTTTTTTCTTTCTTTTTTTTTTTTTATAATTACAGATTGTCCTTTTCGCCGCTATGGCTGTTGCCAGTGCTTACCCTGGATACTTACACGCGCCGGTAAGTGAAAACAAAAAAGTTTCTGATAATTAGTTAATCCGATTCGATTTTTTCGCTAATCGAATTACGTTCTACTGCACGTTGCGTAATAATCTCCCGATTTAATTTTTTCTACGTTTCATGAAAGGAGAGTTTATTCCATACCATTCACTCTGGACCTATTAAAAATATAACACTATTTTTTTTTTTTTTCAAAAGTTCAACACCTTAATTTCGCTCTCGTAACAATTTCCGCACAATGAATCCACGAATGATGCCAGAACATTTCTAGATACCATCTCTTCATAATCGATAAACAGTAAGCTAAGCGTCGTATCTCTAAAATTTTAACCCTTCTCTTAACTCTATTTCGTCCAAGTCTTACTTGACCGAACTTGGGCTGTTCCAAAAAGCTCGAATCGAGAAGAAATCTTTGGACGATCGTCATACGTCATCACTCATCTATTTCTTTTATCGTTTATCCACCGATTTATCTAAATCTAATCTGCCGGAAGTTGGCGGCATGCGAACCGAGAAACTGGACACGCTCGGCGGTAACCAAACGTAACAAAGTTTTCCGCATCGAGGTTTAAAGAGCAGCATTGAAAAGGATTTTTGACATACACATAGGTAGTGGCGCAACCATGGCCAGCACCGGAAGCTTGGCCAGCACCTGCGTACGTTAAGGTCCCTCAAGCTTCGTATTATAAGGTTGCTGCAGCACCAATAGTCAAGGTATCGGCTCCTCAGGTAACGAAAAAAAAAAAAATAATTTAAGATCAATATCATGTGTTCATCATTAATATCATCAGGTAAAACGAAGAATTAATAGAAGAAAATTTTTCGTTTTTCGAGCATCCCAACGTAATATTACTCGAAAGTGCATATATACGTTTCGTTTTCGTCTATTTTCTCGAGTATCGCTTTTATACCATTCACCGAATATCTGATTAGCTATTTACCAGCAATGTTTTATACGTCTTGGTAACAACCAATTTCATTTTCTCGAGTTCAATTTCAAAAATCGATCTTCCTATACCCCCACCACCACTTTCTTTCATCGTCATATATTTTGACTCTTCGCCGTCTCATATGTTCGATTTCGACTCGAATCGTTACCGCACCATCGATAACTCCTCATTTCCCACGTCTAATGGTTCGTCTAAAGCGGAGCGGTGGTCACGATTCACGTAACTTAACTTTCCAATCAATCAATCCGATCGTATCTTGATCGTCGTCTAATTGAATTGTTCGTTAACCAACGTTAACCAACAGGTTTACAAATCCCCCTTAACGAGGACTGCGGTTGAATCATCGTTCGCCGATTCCTTCCAATCCCTTACTTATGCAACCGCATAAGGAGTCGCAGATTTTCTAACCGCTCCTTTCTTCCACGTCTATTATCCACCACGCTCGCGCTTCAGTTCGCAGCAACCGGTCTTCGAGCAACGACACAAATTTCTCACACACCCGACCTAAAGTTAATTTAACGTGGGGAAAAATTTCGCAGGTACACGCTCCGGAAGTCCACCAAGTGCTCCAGATTCCGCAACAACCGGCTATTCCACCCCCACACCCCCAGCCCCTGAACATTAAGATCCCGCATGTGCCAACCGTGAAGATCCCATACCATGGACCCAAGGTCGCGACACCGCACCTCATCGGCGTCGAGCACTACGTGGAGCCTCAGATAAAGGTGGTGAAGGCCGCCCCCATCTCCCATCATCCTTGGGATTAAAGTTCCGCACGGCGCCAACTGAACTCGCTGGCCCAGGGTGAGCGTCCATCCTGGACGAGCCGTCCACGAGGTGCATCTGGAGTAGCGACGCTTCACGAATAACGATAACCATGGCCAACATCGAAATTTTCCTGGCGGGAAAGAAGCTCGAGACGATATACATTTGAAGCATCCGACCGTTTGCCAACGCTCGAGTTCTTCGTTCTCGAGGGAAACTGACCCCTCCCCTCTTCTAGAAAAATCGATCGAGGAAAAATCATATTGACGGAGGAGGGAGAAAGTATCGTCGATCAGTATTATCCAACGAAGAAACGATGAACGAGGAACGTCGAGGTTACGGATCCACGATCACGAGGATCAAAATCGACGGCCTCAGGATCGGCAAAATCATTTTTTTGGACACCACCCGAACGCTCAGACAATTTCCAATCTCGAAGGAAAAAGTTTTTGCATTTTTGTATTTCGATCCTCTCTCTCTTTTTTTTATTTTTTATTTTTTTCTTTTGATCTACACGGCGCAACGAATTTTTTTACAGTATCAGTATTCCTGTATTTTGCCCCTCCATCCCCCCCCCCCTAACTCTTCTTTTCTGGACACGTAAAAATTTTTGTGCGGCATGTGATATCGAAGAAGACATATCGCGACATCGGAGCCTTCATTGTATATTTTCTTCTCTTCTTTCCGCCTACTCCCCCTACCCTTATCATAATTTTGCAACAACACTTTTATTTATTTTCTAATAAAAGTTAATTTTTATGTCTTGTGATAAAACATTGGTGTGTTCTCTTTCTCTCGTCAATTCATCCCTTTCTTACCTCCATCGTCGACAGAATTTGTTTCGCTCGATAAAAATATTTTTATCTATCTTTCTTATACGATATATAATTTCAATTTTTTTTTTTTTTATCTTTTTTAACACATAAATTTTGCGATTGTACGATAACACACGTTCGATGCATACGTACACAACACGGAAATTCTCTTAGATATAAATCAATCTAATGTCGCCAGGGTAACGAATCGTCCAAACAAAAACATTCAACTTACTGCCATTATTTTCGCAGAATATCGTGTTTGTACGAAGAGCAAGACGACCAGTTTACCAATCGATCCCATCGAATTTCGAAACGTTCATTGATCGATTGAATTAACTTCCATCGCATTATTGTGATCAACGCTTTGTGATCACACTTATGAAAATAATATAAGCGCAAACGCAAAAAATGTTCAGATTTGTATCGATCCTGTTTGAAAGACGAATGAAGACCACGCTCTTTATTATCTTAAACACGAATTCTTTGAAAACAATTACTATTGGGCAATTTTTATAATTTATAGACATTGTTGCACGATGGTAAAAAAGGAAAATGCTCAAGAGGCCACACCGTAAAAATTACGCAACGAGAAAGTGGCACGAATCATAAATCGTTCTAATTCGATGCAGCAATTGTATACACACATACACACACACACACACACACACACACAACGAAAAAAGAGGAAGAACAAAAATAAGAGGAGAATTAGAAATAAGACTGTTAGAACGTGAAATGACAAGTTTCGAAGATAATAAAATTCAGAATTTATTAGAGAATTCTCGTGCATCGAGAAGCTCGCAACGAGTTCTAACTGTTTTGAATTCTTTTTCTTATTTTTTCCGTAGAGTAAAAAAATTTTTCAGGAAAATTTTGCATATCGATTATTGATCCTTTCACGATTGATACACGTATAACACTTTCGCTTAGACTGATTGAAAGAAATTAGATCGTTTTTCCGTTGGATTATAAATACCCCATCGATCATCCATCCTGTATTTCATTTCATTTAGTTACGTAAATTTGATACCACCAGTCTGGCATATAATAAATTACGGTTCAATTTTTTATTCGAATCTTTTTCATGCTGGAAAGAGTACGTAACAAAACGTTTCGAGGAATACGAAACTCGCTGTCTAATTACGCTACTTATGAATTTACAATTACCAATTCTTGTGTAATCTTTGGTAATTCTTAGACGCATGAAACGTATTAAGTCTGGAGAAACTTCATTTATATAATTAGAAATACTGAAATAATAGGTTTTGGAAACTTTTTGCTGTTTGTAATTAGTAAGAAATTAAGATATGGAACGTCTTATATCTATTCATCTTCGCGTAATATTTTTAACGTCGTACTTATATATCTATCCAAGATAGATCTTCTTCGTGAAATCAACTTCTTCTTTTCCACAAGAGCACAATTTGATTAACCGAGCTTGATTATCTCGTTGATCATCAAGAGAGCAAGATGAAACGAACGAAACGTAACAACCGTTCTCCTCGACCTGCATTTGAAAAATCCCCCCGAAGCACGTATCTTACTTCAGAACCGTGAATTATACTTGACGAGTGTTTCAGGTACCGTTCGATCAAACGCATGAAATGGGAGAAAAATATTGCGGAGAATTCTAGTTCACAACGAAACTGCTCCTAGCGATTCCTCCGGGCGATCCTCGTCATTGCAATTCAGTGAAAATTCTTTTTGCAACGCAATCCACGATTTTTTTTATTGGATATCCTCGAGGCATTGTCCATATACGTGTTGGAAATATGTAAAGTACAGTTTGCCACTCGAAGGCGTGGAAATGTTTTATGTTTATTTTCTAGCCAAGTTGAAACTTGGTAGCCAAACGCAGATGTATTTCATTTGAAAAATTTTCGTTCAACTTTATTTTAAAAGTTTAACAATGTATCTGTGTTGTTCTGATGAAAGGACACTTTAATCGATGAAAGAACGTTTCCGTACTACTATGATATATCGATTCAGCATCATTGAATAATTTTTACCTACTATTATTGATTACTTACGCTATATTTAACACGAATAATCAGTTAACCGATGTTTATCCGATAAAACTGTTTATACTATGTAATTGGGTGTCTTTTATTATCTGTGTCTATGTGCAAAAAAAAAGTGTTTTCAAATAAATTGTTTGATCATATATTCATTCATTAATCTCTACTCGATTACTCCAGATATTATTGAAATGATATTTACGCGAATTATGCGAATGAATATTAATGGAATAATGAAAAATTATTTCTTTAGTTTTTACATTTTCCCACGTGACACGTTACATCATTAATACGCACTAGACAATAAAATCTAATTATATTTTATTCCTTTAATAAAAAAAAAAAAAAAACAAAAAAGAAGAAGTCAAGATTGTTGTCGCAAACGTTACGATTCCAACGAAATTTTATTTGCGTAAAATAGAATTTCTTAACGCTACTTAAACGCTAGCGCAAGCGAATCTCTTCAATTTAATTCAATTTTATCCGTCGCCATTGTTTCTTTAAGGAAAACAATTATGGAATAAAAAAAAACAGTTTACATAACGAGAAACAAACCTTGTGAAGAGTTGTTCAACACATGACGACAAATATCGATTCATGTTTCAAGGAAGTGCATGTTTTAATGATAAACTTTGCATACGTCAATTGCATCGAAGGACACACAGTTCGATTTCTTATGATCAATCTCGATCTCGAGTTTGTTCTCAATCCCTTAAACGCAATATCAAAGATATGATTCTATTTTCCTGTTATCCTATAAAAAAATTAATCCCATTTTCTCGGCTTTTTGATAATTGAATTCCTCCACTGTAAATGCCTACATTTCTATACAAATAGAAACCAGGTTATATCTTTAACCAACTGTATAAGTCGTAACAGTATTTATCTCGATTGAATAATTTTCTTTAACTAACTTTCACCTAGGAATCGCATCTTTTTATCCAAGTTCGCTCTTACGTTCTAGATCACATAATCGCCATAATTATTCTTAACGAGATAGATCGTTATCTCAAGACAAATCTCGATAAAACCACGTTTGATCCACGAGATCGAAGACAAGACAAATTGTCGTTAAAATGTTTATAGGGGATAGTTTATAGGCGGCGAAGAAGCGGTGTCGAGCACCATTTCAATGGGGGTGGAAACACGTGGCCGGGGGGGGTGAATGTAACGACGTGCACAGGTGAAAATAGACGAGTTTGTTCAACGTAACGACGAGAACCACTGCACAAGCACAAGCGGGAAAATGTGAACGTATGGATAGCCCGTTGTCCCTCGAGGTTGTTCAGTGTCGTCAGTTCGATCCGGTCACTAGGCCATTCACCATGAACGAGCGCAGTGAGTATATTTCTTACTATTTATTCATTGTTTCCGCTGATGTACCCCGGTACATCCGTCGATACCTCTTTTAACTCCCTATATAGCATGCTTCAACTACTCTGCTAAGTACTTTCTCCCTTTATAGTCGTGTCAAGTTCAGTTTTGTACGATTCCAATACGAGAGAATGGAATTCCTTTATCGTCGTTTCCTAAAATCTTGGTACGCTTTCAAGGATGATGATTTTTAACTTGCGTCGTAAATAAATTCGACGAAGAATTGGAAAAAAAATGATTTATATAACTGCTTCAAAAATTAAAAAGAAATTCGTTTATTATATTTTACGATAATTTTCACTATTTGACTACTTAATTGCAAGTTGTATATCCATTCCATTTAATTTTGTACTTATTGTTCTTCTTTTTTTCTTCAGAGGATGAAACACAGTCAATTTACACGGTCGCCAGCCAACAGAACTTGGTACCGATAAAGTCCAGAAACGCCTAGTAAGTGATTGCGAGATTGACGTCTGCCGGTTGTCTCTACTCGCCTACTTATTAAGTCGTGTTATGACATGTCATCGTCAAACAGCCGACGATGAAGCCTTTAATCCATGCCAATTAGATTTGTTTTTCCTTTTTCTTTTTTCAGCCTAAAGAAACGAAGACACGTACCGAATCTAATGATGATTACGCTGTTTCTCCTGATGGGTCTATCTATCCTAGCGGCACTGGTGTTTTCCATACTTTGTAAGCAATTATTATCATGATCCTACATTTAAGAATTTGCAAAATAAAATTTACTTTCAAATTTCATTATTTTTTCAATTTTCAATTATCGTATTTTAACTTTTTCTTTTTCAGATATAACTTACAGACCGACGAAACTTTGCGAAACAGAGAATTGCGTCCGCATAGGTAAGCGATTAATCAATGTCTCTGTGATATTCTATCTCTGTGATCACGTATTATTGGAGAAGATTTGATGAAATTTTCGTTGCCCTAGCTGCCAGTTTGAAAGAATCTATGGACACGTCCGTAGATCCTTGCGACGATTTTTATAAGTGAGTATACATTCTGGAAGCTCCGATTATAGTACTGTACATATCTATAGCATACGTTTCAGAATTAGACGAAGTATATGCTATTTTTCAATGTCGCGCAATGGAGTACATGGAGCTACTTCAGACTTGCGTGTACAATTTGCGATAGGATCTTTATCTCCGCATTTTAACGTTCAATTCCTTTCCAGATACGCATGCGGGAAATGGCGGGACGAGCATCCTATACCGGATAAGAGTTCGACTAATTCGTGGTTCGACGAGCGTCGAGAAAGAATGTACGTAAGAATCAGAGAGCTGTTACGGGAAAATGGGACGAATAGCAGCGAGCCGTGGGCAGTATCGCAGGCTAAATTGTTGTACAGCAGCTGCATGAACGTGCGTACGTTGCCATTTTAATGATTTTTCATTTCACTTGTTCACAAGGAAAGTTCAATAACTTTTTTTCCTCAAGTAAGATTTACCAGTTCGTTCCGTTAAAATGGAAAAATTCTTTTCGACATTTCTGCGACGATTTTTTTTGAATTCGTTGAATTTTTCTGGTTAAAAAGACGTGGATCGTAACGTTCGAGTTAATTTCAGAGGCGACGGACGAGCTTGGACTGACGCCATTGTTCGACGTATTGAAAGAGCTCGGTCTGCCCCCGGTTCCTGCGGCCATCACCAAGAAAACGAGCGATTATATCGAACAAATAGCCAGGGTGAAAAAAGTTCTAGGAAAGGACGTGTTCTTCGGCTTCGAGATTATTCCCGATCCTCGAAACACCAGTAACAATATAATGTTTCTCGACACGCCGATCGTCAGTAATCCATTACCCAAGTAGAGATCTTATTTTCGAAGTATTTGTTTCGAACGATGTGATTCGATTAATCAATCGATGCAAATTTTTGTATTGTTAACAGCAACAAGGAATTGGAGAAACGATTGCATTCGATCAGATCAAGTTTCCGGAAGTTGGAGGAGGAGGAGGGGGATGAAAGCGAAGATAAACTGAAAGATGTAGAAATTACGTACATAACCGGCATAATTAAGCAAATCATGAACAATGGAACCCTCGATACTTGCTCTTTAAACGATGAATCATTGCCCCTTGGCAAGGAAGAATTGGAAGAAATCACCGAGTCGCTTTACAAATTAACGAGCGCATTTTATTACGTACGTTGTTTGAACGAACTTAACGACTTAACGTTATTAATAATATTCGCGTAGGCAATAATTTATTATTGTTAACCAGAAATATCATTTTATTACAGCTATCCCGTCTAGATACCAATCAAACGATTTGGGAGGATGATCCGACCGATGACGACTACATGCTGGTAGACGATCTTCAAAAGTTGACTGACGAGTTTGTGACCGAAGTTAACTCTACGCTCACGCCTAAACTGTTATGGCGGCCGTTCATTGAACTGGTTTTTAAGGATATTGACACTTTAGACTTGGATAAGAAGGATAAAGTGTTGGTAGGCGATCTGGAATATTTGAAGGAGGTTGCTCTTATGTTGGCTCTCACCGAGGAGGAAGAATTAGGTAAAAAAAGTTTGAATTTCAATAATGTTTTAATAATTATAACATATGGATAATTATCGAATTTTTCCTCAGAAAGCTACGTATGGTGGGTGATAGTGGATATAATCGTACCGCACTCGTCGGACAATTTAAGAAAAATTTGGATAGATTACATCAACGAGTTGACCAAGGTCGAGGTCGGTGAATCGAGGTCCTTGTTTTGCGCGTCTGCGGTCAACGAATTGATGGGTAAGTGTGAAATAAAGTTTTATTTCAAGCGTGTATAAAAGAAAAGTCATGTTGGAAATCGTTCGACGATCTTTCATTTCAAACACTGCTATAATTTTAGGAATGGCGGCCTCGTGGCTGTTCGTGGACTCGTCCTTTCACGAAGACAAAGGTAAAAAGGTGTTCGAAATGTTGGACAATATAAAACAAGCCTTCGCCTCGATGGTTTTGCGAACCGATTGGATGGACCAGCGGACGAAACTGGCCACGTTGGAGAAGAATAGGAAGATGGAGTCTCAAATTGGCTTCCCGGATTGGTTGTTCGCCGAAAATGTGCTCAACGAGTATTACGAGGGCGTAAGAAATTGTTCATTCGTTTGTTCATTCGATGTTTAAGCGGAAATAAAACTAACTCGTTCATTTTCAGATAGATCTCTCGGAGACAGAGTATTTGAGCAATATGATACAAATTGTTCGATTGATGTCCTTGACCGAATTAGAATGCATTCATCTGATTAATTACAACAATGAATCATAGTAAGAATTTTGTTTCGTTCAAAGAAACGTGTTGAATTAAAGTGATTAAATGTTTTTCTTCTTTTTTTTTTTTTTTATTTCTTAGCTGGGCGACCGATCCAACGGATGTAAATGCATTTCATACGTATCAGTATAATCATATAAGTACGTATTACTCTTAAATGAAACTTAACACCTAACAATCGCACGATTATATTGCATACGTTACTTATTTTAAACATGCAGCTATACCAGCAGGAATTCTTCAATTTCCTTTTTACGAACTGGGTCTCGAGTAAGAATTACGATCGATGGGGTCATGTAAATAACAGATTTCTCTATAGATCGATTTCTCGATTTCAGGTCTCTGAATTACGGCGCCATCGGCACGATTCTTGGTCACGAATTGACTCACGGATTCGACAACAGCGGAAGACACTACGACAGTAATGGGAACGTGAGACAATGGTGGACCAACGAGACTATTTTGAGATACACCGAGAAAACCGAATGTTTCATAGATCATTATAACGCTTACTACGAAGCTGAAGTAAGTGTGAGACGTCATGTGTTAGACAGATCGTTGACGAAAATTGACGAATTTTCTCCAATTACGTTTTTGATTAAGTTTATAAATTGGTATCGACGATTCGATTGCGCATTTATTCGAGCAGATAGACGATTATATCGATGGTGAACACACATTGGGTGAAAATATAGCGGATAACGGTGGTCTGAGAGAAGCTGTCGTCGCTTACGAAAGATGGAAGGCCAAACACGGCCGAGAGCCCTCGCTTCCGGGATTCACCCACCTCACTCACGAGCAACTTATTTTTCTTAGTTTCGCGCATGTAAGACGTTTCATTTATTTTGTCGGATATTATATTGTATCGATTCCTGAAAACGATTAAAATTTATATTTTTTCTCTAGCTGACGAAAGATGATATATCTTTTGAAACGTGTTGAGTCGATCCACACCGAATATCAATAAACTTTTTTATTATTTATTTCACGTTATTAATTTTTTTGTGCGTGTCCTTTCGTGTCACGAGACATTAAATTAATGGTAGACGATTTTCGGATATTTATTATTCAATATATTCTTGAATTTTATTTTCGATCAATTTCATTCGCAAGAAATTTTTATTTTACGAATTTTTTTTTTTTGTAGAAGACATTCATTATGTCTAATTTATTCAGGTTTTTATATATATATTTTTCTGCTTAGATTTGGTGCGAGGCCTATACTCCAAAATCTTTGAGATGGATATTACAAGACAGCCATTGCCCTGGACACGTGAGACTTCTCGGAGTTCTCAGGAATTCCAAAGAGTTCAGCGAAGCGTGGAATTGTCCTGCGGGATCTAATATGAATCCTCCGAACAAATGTAAAGTATGGTAACAGAATTCCATGATCGAAGAAAAAAAGAAAAAGAAATTCCTGAATTTTCTCTTCCTCGAAAAACGCTTTTACATCTTTCAATCGCCTCAAATTATTATTATTATTAACATCAATCATGCTATAATATATAAACGTTAACCAAATATCACCTATGATTTCATCGATCGAAAGTTGCAAAGATAATAATTGTTAGAAATAACTGATAATCCAACGTTTATAATAATAAAAGAATTTTATTTACTTATAACATCGTCGTGCATTTCATTCATCTTTAATCGGGGGGGATTAACTCGTGTTGTTACGCTCAGTTTCAATAAAATAATCTTTTCGATCATCGACCGAATCGATTCTAAAACAGCTCCCCAAAAACAGATCAGATCGTACGATTTATTCTCAATAAACATATCCGCCGTTGGCTTCCGTCGATTGAACGTACTCGTTGGCCGGCGTCACGCTCACCACCTGCTTACCAACCGATACCGGATTATTCACACCGACGAGTTCTCGATTGTAAGTATCGCTCAAAAGAGAAACTTTGACCACGGGTGGGATCGAGGTTGACTCCGATTTAGAATTTGCGTTGGAGGAAGGCGTCGTCGTCGAGGTCGAGGACGGGGGTCGAAAGTTGGGCAGATACATCATGGCAAGCTGGTAGAAGATGTTCAAGAATTGCTTATCCTGCTGGGTCTGATTCGGGATATGGATCACGGGTACCGATTTGGTTTTCAGCACTTCGGTCACAGAGTGTTGGGTCTCGACTGGCTGGTGCGACACGATTCCCACCGAGTTGATCGGATCCACGGTGTCCACGGATCGGAGAGGGCTCACCGTCGACACGCTCACCACGGGTGTTAACGTCTTGACCACGGTTGGCACCGCGTGTTGCACAGGCGACGAGGTCTTCACAGAGTTGACAGATTCCACGGTGTGCACCAGATTCGGGTCCACGGGTTGCACCGGGGTCAAGGTGGCCACGGAAGATACCGGAGACAGCGTTTCGAAAGGAAGCGACGCGTAGAGGCTGTGAAGGGGGGCCCGTTGCACGATATGCGGAACCGAGAAGGCCGGCTGCGCGATGGAATACGCGGTTGGAACATTTTTGTTCGGATAAAGGGATGGTGAGAGGGGAAGAGGAACGTTGAGATTGACGGCGTGGTCGACGGGGAGGGGTTGTTGTACTGTCGAATAGAGGGAAGGAAGTTGGGAAGAAACGCCGTAATCTGGGATGTTAAGGAGTCCGCCGTAAGAAGCGTAGACAGTGGGCAGAAGGGTGTTGCCAACAACGTTCTTCCTCGCGGTTGTCGTAGCTGAGGGGATGGTCTTCGCTCCGCCGGTAAACTGTGTTACTTCTACAGGAGAAGAGAGAGAGAAAGAGAGAAATTACGCGTCGATTGTAATTATCGAAATGTGGCGATGCGAATCTCTGATCGTATACGATTTAGGAAGAATTCAGTTTTGAAAAATCTCGAAGAAATTTCGACGCATTGGCGGTGTAATGTTAGTGAATTATGTAATGTTAAAAGATTCTTACGTTTCACGGTAGGCCCACGTTCAACGATGTTCACAGTCGACGGAGATCCTTCGTGAACTTGAGTCTTTACGGTTTTGATCGTGGATTTGACTTGAGATTCGGTATCTACAGCGGTCTACGGAAAATTAGATGTGTTTTACTCGTTCGAGTAATTTGCAGGATGGATAAATTGTTGCGAGAAAGTGTTAATTTACCTTGACGGGAGTACCGTAAGAGGGTGATGGAGGTGTAACGTTTACCGTCTGCAAATAGAAAATTACGGTACGGATGAACGTGATCGGATACTTGGTTCAATTTATTCTATACGTACTTCGACGCTTTCAACGGGAACCGAGAATGTTGTGGTCGATGCTACTTTTTCAGGTTCCACGTTAACCACTTCAGCAACCTGAAGAAACGTAATACTTGATGATTTTTTTCGGTAGAATCTTTATAAAATAATTTCTCTTTTATAATTTTTATTCCAGTTACCGGTGTAGAATATTCAGTTATAGCGAGAGGTGACAAGTATTCGTTGCCAAGGGGAGCGCCCGGTTGATATCCAGGAGGTCCATACACGTCCTGTACCACAGATCCGTCGTTGAAGGTTTTAACTTGTACCACGTTGTCGAGATGATGATCGATTCCGTAACGTGGATCGCCCGGCAGAATGTCCCTCTTTTGCTTTGGCTCGGGGAAAGCCGAGGTGACCGTCAGATAAGTCTGAAATATATTGAAATAATTTGTGAAAAGTACACAACGATTATTTTTATTTCTTTGTGCGTTTCACAACAATTTCTTTTTATCTAATCTTTGAATCAAATCGATCATCAATTTTTAAATTCCAGTGAAAAGATGTTTATGTTTCGAATAGAAAAGTATGAAATCTATCTCGACAAAATATTTTGGCGTGAAAAAGGATCCTTACCAGACCGATCAGTAGCAACCTCATGTTTACGATATGCTGTTTGAATAAGGAGTGGAATATCGTCCCAGAGATATTTCGATCTTTTATACTTGACCAATGCTCCCTCCAGTTTATTTCGCAATCGGATGGCATTGGAAGAACTAGATTTTTTAATTGACTTCTTTTGAAGGTCTGCTCATCGTGGAGAGATGATCGTAGCGAACAAAATGTTTCTTGAATAATCGTCACTCGTGCGTGTTGGTGATACCGACCGAAATAAAATAAAATTCCATTTTTGTTTCAGTGTTGGTGTTCCTCTTCCGCCCACCGATCTTTACTCTCGATATTTTAAGCAACCATTATATAGGAACAGACGATGATTTATGTAAATCTCTATGCGTCTCTTTCCTCAACTTCGCTCTCTTCTTTTTCTCTTCTCCTTCTTTTTCTCTTTTCTCCTCGTCGACGTCGAAAAAAAAATGCGCGTGTATGACCATTATCGAGCTTCGTTAGGTGAAGAAGAAGAAGAAGAAGAAGAAGAAGAAGCTTTTAAAGGATTCGGATAACGAACGATGGACTTTCGTAAGGTTTAATGGATTGTCGTCAATCACCTCTAAGCATATAATTCGTATGATCCCGATTATTGAACGTCAAGTTCACGACAGCTTTGTGTTTTGAGATACCGTGGCAGATGTGTTTCGTAACTTTCCAAATGCAGAAGATGCATCACGATAATGTTTTTTTTTTTCTGTTTGTAGAAAACAACTTCAATATAGATAAAATTTATATTTTATAAGCTTGTTATTACGAAGTTGATAGTGGACAAGTTTAATATTCTTGAATTTATTTTTTGATTTTAATTGCGTTGAAAAAAAAATGATATAAGAGTCAGTGTCTATAACGATCCAACAGTTGATACAAATAGTTGTGCAATTCATTTGCATTAATTATTTATTTAAATTAATACGAATTCCATATCCTTGATTTATAAGAAACTTCAGTTTATCAATTGTTTTTGTAAATAAAATACCGATCGATGTGTATTTTAGACATTTCCACCATCAAGAAATCGGACAAGATTATTTTTGTGAAGTTTCTACGATGAAAGAAATACAATTTTTTTTTTTTTTTTCTTAAATATGTCGAACGTTTATTAACGTGTTTTGAAGGTGAAGACAGAAATAGATGCCATAAAATTTTGTTAATTTTTTGTTAAAGTACGAATTTTTATGAATAAGTTTAATGAAAGAAATAATTTGCTTTTCGTTTAATCATTTAATGTAATAATAATTTTATTATTATCTTTTTAAACGCAAATATTTCAATAATTTATAAAATTTCATTGTTTAAATTTCAAATTAATTTTCACGAGTTTCATATTTTATCAATAATATTCTTTCGCGATTGTTTTTTTTTTTCTTAGAAATCTATTTAAAAAAGATCTATTGTCTTTTAAGTTTGGAGAAAACTCTTTTTCTAGTTATTTTGTGGTGAGCAGAAATCCAGAATTCCAAGCTTGTATTTTAAACATATACGAATAGACTCGTTTCTACGTGATAAATCGGCCGAATCACTGAATAATTTAAAAACATCGATAATGCATTAATTGCATAACGGACAACTCCATGGAAGACACGCATTAAGATATTCCGATCTGATAAAAATTCACAATTGCACAATCTCTACATAAATTTCGTACTTTAATTTCGACGATTAATTATCGAATCAAAAATCCAAAGTAAATGGATTATATAGAGAACTAACAAATTATTTTTTCATTTGCGTGTATTTTTTCTTATAACTTAAATTCAAATTGAATTCTTTTCTTCCTTTTTTTTTCATTAGAAAAAGAAAGAACAATGGATAATAACAAGTACATATTTTCAAAAATTAGATAGCAATGGCGTTGATAGCATCTGATGAATTGAAGAGATCAAAAAGTGTTTATTAAAGTTTTTCAAAGGCATCAAATATGCCGCACATTCGATTGTAACAAAATCGAATTTTTTGCTCGAATAACACTGTGGCTCTATCTATGAATTACGCTCGAAAGTATACGGAGAAATATCACCATAGATTATGTATATAATAGATTCTATAAGTCGATATTTCAGAATATGTAACGAAAAATCCTATACGACGATACATCTATTCTACACTTTCTTTATGTCATAGATTATTCCCCTATAAAGCAAAAATTAATGATAAATAGTAAAAGAATTCATTTTATATTCATGAATTACAAGCTCATGAAATCCTTTTCTTTCTTTAAGCGATTTATTTCATAATTTAAACAACAATCCTTCTATTGCATTCGTGTCCGTATATCTTTATGTCTCTTACCTAAATGCAATCTTTCTATTGATTTAAATTTTGTATAATAAAGCGTTTTTATTTAATTTAAAATTTTATTTTCTTCGTTAAAAAACAAGTTATATAAGTTATAAAACGGATTGAAAACTTTTAAAGAATAATAATAGGAGAATCAAAAAAAATTTTACTAGCATTAAAAATTACGGTGAGAGTGAAGGTATATGTTACCCTGTTGCGCGTGTATGTCGCAAACACATGCGTCGTCCATTAGAGAGCATATTATATTATGTTCATTTATGGATATTAGTTATAAGCTCGCTCTTCTACCGAGTTGCGGAAGGAAAGGACTCGCGCTCTAATTATCCCGATTATCCTCTACCCGCATCGGTTCGTGTTTCACTCAACTGCCATGGAAAACCATGTCAAGTATCGTTGTCCTTTTGTTTCCCGCTTCTTTGCACTCGAATTTCTTTTAAATAATAAAATAGAGAAAGATGATCTTGAAAGTAAGATTCTTGACGCGGATAAGATTTCAAATATCGTGTATTACTGAATTTCATACATATTTATTTAATAATTATTTCTATTCGACTTAATAGAAAATACTATAAGAAAGTTGGTATATAAAAAAAAAAAATAACATTGCGACAAATAAAACGAACTTTTATTTATAGATTTTTATTATAGATATATTGGACACAATTTTAAATTTAACTTTTCCTCTCACGAACAACTCTTTTGAAAGGTTATTTCTGTCTTATACTTTTTATAACTTTTTGCCTTTCTCCTGGAAGACAAACGAAATAAGGATAAGGTAATGCAATTTTTATGTTTCGTGTTAATTTATTCATTTTTTGTTATATGGAAGATCAATGATGGGTGGAAATTGAATTGGTATCAATGATACACGTTTTATATAAAACAGATAATCGATATATAATTCGACACGGGATTACTAGTTTTCACCAAAAGTGAGAGGAGAAAGAGGGTTGGCCGGTGAATGATTTTACTTTTGCTTTTGTACCGAACCGGATTCTATCGCCCTTATAAGAAAACCATTACTGATTAAACGCTACATTTTTTTCTCTCAAGTCGGAAGGATACACGTTCTGTACCTAGATCTATACCTATAAAGACAATTCAATTTTTTACATAATATATACGTAAAAGATTTTCCATAGGCCAAGAATTGAGATTTTTCAAGGATCTCGATAAATTTTTTCTTCCTGCCACCGTTGGAAATACATTCTCAGTAATTTTTCAGTGCGTCATAAAAATGTAAAAAAATATCAGTTGCAATAATTTGTACGAAAAAATTAAAAGAGAAATTACTAAAGAAGAAGAAGAAGAAGAAAAATATAACATCTTTTAAAAAAACAAATAAGAAAAACAGTAATCATTTAATCTTCCTTAAAATGTTAACAGCTGTCAAAATCGATTTAATTTCTTCAACGGATATTACTTTCTTTCGAGTCTCGTTATAGGATCGAAATGCTTGTTACTCATATATCATAATTCCGCCGAAGTTTTACATGTAGCGGATTTGTTTCGCTCGCACGAGTGCATGCGAACGAGTGTGGCGATAGAAAGAACCAGATGATCCAGATTATCCTTTTACTTTGTACGTTCTTTCAGTGTTCGAGAACGATAATCCTTTCACCGTTCTCTCCCTCGACCGTGAATCGTTTTCGCGGTTCGCATTTCAGAATAGTCGATTGCTCTCACCATTTTTTATAACAGGAAATTACAACTCGATCTCACGTAGGAAGTTCCACTTCCTAATACTATTTCCTCACCTTCTCTGTTATCGTTCCTTCTGATGGTATTCGCATATTGGACGAAAAAATTGAACGAAGCATTCTTCTACGATTAAAAGAATTGAAAGAATTATTTTTAAAATGTAAATTTAAAAATTAAAAAATTTTGAAGTATGTTATATATTCCGAGTTGGATATAAAAATTTGACAGTCACAATTTGACTAACGTAACTTGTCAATCAAATGCGTTAAATTAGAATTGAAATCGATACGATCTCGACGAAGACAAATATATTTCGATCGAACAAGCATGGCCCATTATTAATTATCATAAATATCTTAAACATAATAAGTAATAGAACGAACTGTACAATTTTGACATTCGTAATTGACCGTGTATAATTGAAACGTTCAAGACACGGACGAGTAATTAACGAAGATTGCACGCCCGGTGAAAAGACATAACGAGATAATCGTCGCTATCATTCCTCAAAAGGAAGAAGAGAAAAAGATCGGAATCATGTATAGAGATGGGGAGGAAGGTGCGTGACTGGGTCAGTTACGAAAGAGGTAAACACAAATTCCCTTTCGGCGCGAAAGATGCGTGGAGAGGCGATCGATCTCGATTGCAGTCGAAATCGAGCGTGGTGGCGGAGGCCGGTCGTCGAACTCGCGAGAAGAGCAAGGAAGAAAAAAAAAAGGAAAGAAAGAAAAGAAAAGGGGAGAAGCGGAGACAAGACCGGAGAACGCAAGCCAGTCGGAAAGAGAGTGCTTTCTTCGTGGATCGGCGATGGTGAAGGTCCTCGTATATAAGCAACTGCTGGTAGTGCAATTGTCAGTGTGATTCGTCCCATCGGAAACGCCTATCTGCTTACACCTACGAAACCGGATGACGATGTGGCGAGTAGTAAGTTTTAATCATCGTCGAGAGGAAACGAGCAGGAGTAATTCTCTCTCTTTACAACTTTCGTTATAAATTTGGTGAACGTGTAACTGCTCGAAGTGGACCCGAAGAGAGTTGTAAAGGGTTGTAACAGGGTTGTAAAGTGTCTCTTTTTCTTTTGTCCATTTTTATCCTGTCAGAGATCGAGGGCGTGAGCCAGCCAAGAAAAAGTGATTACGCGGGAGAGATTCGTCGGAGAAAGCAAATTCTCTCGGTACAGATTATCGATATTCATATGGGCCTGTGCCTAAAAGAATTTCAACGGAGAAAGTTAATTCCGTTCACTTGGCTCGATAATTGAGATAATTCGTTTAATTCCTGTTACGATATTTCACGAACTTTAGAAAGGATTTTCCGCTTTACTCGTTCCTCCTCTCGCCACAGATTTATCTTGGCGCGCAGTTCGACGAACTTTAATCGCGAATTATATACATACACGTTTGCAGTTTTTTTTCGCTTTGGCCGTGGTCGCCGCGAGGGCCTCTCATTTCTCCTCCCTGGAAGGCCATGGTCTCCATTCGAGCGAGCCGAAGCTTATCTCGCAATCGGTTCATCTGAAAGAAATACCGACCAAAATCATCAAGGTCACGAAAACCGCGGTCGTCAAGGTGCCGGTTCCCTATCCAGTCAAGGTATTCACATTCAATTTCTCCTTATATTAATTTCACAATAATGCATATATTATACAAATCCAACAACAAATCCCTTCATCATCCGTTCACAAAAACGCAAATTAAATAAAAATAACTAGTAAGATGAAAAAATTCAAATCTCATTTCCCACCACGGGGAATAATCGAAGAAATGGATCGAATGGGAGGTTTCGTTGATCTAGAAAATTCCTTTCTCTTTCGTAGGTGCCCCATCACATACCCGTCCCGGTGCCAGTGAACCATCCGATCGCGGTTCCGTATACGAAGCTGGTGAAAGTTCAGGAACACGTGCCGGTCGAGGTGTCCAGGCCAGTCCCGATCGAGATCCATCAGCAGGTACCGGTGGTGGTGCCGAAGGCGGTCCCGGTGCCGCAGCCGATTCCGGTTCCTCATCCTGTAACGGTGAACAAGCCTGTCTTCTATCCGGTACCACACCCGATCCCATATCAGGCGAGCCATTCCGAGGGTGGTATCGGAGGTGGAGCTGGAGGATACGATTCTGGGGATCACGAGGGCCACGAATCGGAGAGTTACAGCTCTTACACGGTGAATCAACACGGGCACGAGCAGGACGTGCAAGGTGCAGCCCACTTCCAACCCTCTCAACCCGATTACGGCTCGCATCGTTGAACCACAGTTTCGAGATTCCCCGTTGTACATACACGTCGTTTATATTATTAAGCCTGATTTGTTAAGTTTATGTTTTTTTTTAATTTTTATGTTTCTTTTTTGTTGACGTTCTTATTTTTTTTTTTTTATATATATGACTGTTTCAATAAAAATTTATACTTTGTAAACTACTCGATGATGGGTTTCTTGTTTTCGAGCGAAGAGGGAAGAGTAGTAATTTCGTGATTGATCGGTAAGATCTAAGAAAAATGACCTCGATTTTGGTCCGATAAAATGGGAAGTGAATTATCGTATCACGATTTGATGAGTCACGCGAGTCTGCGTATAATCTATGCACGGATTGTATCTATTTCGGGCTAGAAAAGATCGATTCGTCCAAGAATGGAATCGTATTTGCGATGAGTGAACGGGTATAACGGGTCGTCCGGTTGAAACTGTCGCGAGTTTTTAATTCCTGTTTCTCGCAGTGAAGAAAGCGGACTGGAAACGCGACATGGATAAATCAATGGCGCGGTTGTAATTTTTATAAGACTTATCTTTCTTTCGCAATGGTTGAAAGTATGTAATCAAAAAGCTTAAATTACGCACATTACATTCGAGCTTGCAATTTTATTTGCAATTCTCTCGCACTCGCGAAAAATGAATGTCTCGGTCGGTGAAAAAATTACACGAGAATGGTATGAGACGATACGAGTGGTGAGAGTGAAAACGCGCAATTACGCGACTTTATTTGTTTTCATTAAAAAAAGAAAAAATCTTCTTAATTATTATAATAACGAACGCGCATCGTTTTCTCTTTCATCCTCTCGATTCCACGATAACGAGGAATCGGATCTCTCGCGATCAAAATAACACGCTTGCATAATTTGATCGCTTTATTCGAGGAATACCGGCTTCAATTTGCGGGGAGTGCGCGTTACACGCAAAATTTCGTTAATCGCTTGCGGTAAACTGCATCCTTTACCCGATTTAATGAGCGTACCACCTTGCCCGTGCACTTCTTCCACGAGGTATTTACACCGTTCACTTTGGATTATTACTACGAATTCACGGCGTTGTCTAACTTTTTCGTGGAAAATTGTAGGAATCCCTATTTTGCTTTATATTATTACACTTATCGCACACATAAGTTTATTATATCCGATCGGTGAAAGTAGTTTCTTTTAATAAATATTATATATATAATATTGCGCAATACGTGTTCCTTTTTTCTATTAGATAATTTTTATGCTCGATCAAGGTAATTGGAACCAGTTTCGTAATCTTTCGTTTCAAAAGAAATGGTAGGAATTACAAAATCTCTTTTCAAATTTTTCTCGAGTATTTCTGCATTTCGATATTTCAATATCCTTTATATATATATATATGTACACATGTTTCTTCGATATGGAATCGAAAAAAAAGAAAAAGGAAAACACCATGTATCTTTAATACGAAAACATATATTTATTTCTATGTTGGGAAACAAGAGTGAAATTACTTATACGAAAGCGAAAAAAAAAAAAGGACGAATAACCGCGATGGAACAATTACGTTAATTGAAACGCAGGATCGTTAACGCTCGATTTATTCCTCTCACGGATATAGTCCAAGAGAGATTTAACCAATCATTCATCGTCCCAAAAGGGGCCAATCTTCGCGACGTCGAAAGTTCCATAATATATTTGGCAAAATATCAGAAAGTCGATGTTCGATGGCTGGACTTCGACTCAGTTGTTCGATCTCGAGGCGGAGATCTTATCTTCTTAGTCCGTCAACTTTCTCCGTCGCCCAACCAACGTCTGAAATCCAACCGTCGCTCGGATTTGGAACAACGATAAAAGCGTTGCGACGACCGAAGCTAGCTCCCCCGGAAAAATAGATCGGTTTCGTTTACCAGGAGGAGTAGCCGCTTGGCCAACCGCCGTGGTTGTACTTCTCGATCACGACTGCAGGTTGCACCACGGGCACCGGTATCTGTTTCACGTATGGAACGGCGTACGGTTGGGGCACTTTGACGGCGTAAGGGGCCGGTACCGGAACCTTGATTGGGACCGGAACTGGCCTCTCAACTGGGACTGGAACGTGTCTGGTCACTTCGACCGGGTACGGTTTAGGGACAGGGACGGCGACGGGGCGATCGACCGGGACGGCGACCGGTACCTGAAACGAAATTTGTGTCGGTTGATAATTTTAATAATACGATGACGGAAGAAAAAGTGGAGGGAACGATACTTTTTTTTTTTTTTTCCTTTTCTTCGAACGAGAAGTGTTGCAATCTCATAACGATCGGGTAAAAAAATCGAGCTGGTCGAAGTTTTTCCAAGAGAAATCTAAACGCGCACGTGTGGGATTTGTAACGTTCTAAATCGCGTTTACGAAATCGCGCCACTCGTTCACATTGAAACGTTAATTAACGTCCGATGATGAAGGCGTTTACTGCCGATCATGCGAACAGATATTCCAGGATAAACAGAGCGTGATTGGGAGCTCGAGGTCCTCGTCTGAGCTGATCTCCTTGATACCGATAGGAACGCGCATCAATATTGGTCCGACGCTATACTCAAATCAAGAAATGGAATATTGCTTCCGTGCAACATGGAGAGAGTCGAGTCGCTCTCGATTTCGCGTGCATTCTTTTTTATCCGCCAGAGATTGCGCTCGATCGATAAGATCTCGTATCTCAGTTTCGTTCCATTTTTTTTTAGCGTGGAAGGGAACGAAGAAACGATCTTTACCTTAACCGGGACAGGGACGTGTTTCTCGACGGGTACAGCGACAGGATGTGGTACAGGGACTGGCACTTCCTTGGTTACGACCGAGACCGCCTGGCTGATCGGTGCCGCGTAACTAGAGTATCCATATCCTCCGTATCCGTATCCTCCATAGATTCCACGTTTGTCCTTCTTCGTTTCAACGGCTTGCTCTTCGGCCAAGGTTGCCGCCACGAGGGCGAACACGATGAGAAGCTGCAACAACGATCCAATTCTAATTACACAGATATCGAATCGGAAAGATTAGTCTCTGATCCTCGTACATCGAGGATTTTGAGAAATAATATTCGTCTCGACGAGGTATAGTTTCGCCCTGTATGGAATCAGTCCTGAGCCCAGGCAGAGACTGATCGTCAAGATCGCGGAGATCATGTCGATCCATACGGCTGGAATTGCTCACCTTAGCGTTCATGTTGGCTGCGCTATTGGAGTTGTTGGTTCGTCGTTGTTTTGCGACTGATGAGATAGCAAGAAGATCCACTGCTTTTATACGGTGTGACGACCACGACGAACCCTTGAAGAGGAGGTGGTGGGCAGTGGCGGACCTCACTGAAACGGTGAGAAGAAATTGGGCGTGGGGGATATCGACGCAGGGCTCTTCGAAAAGCGACCCAAGGCAAAGCTTCTTTCCACTCCTTTTTTTTTCTTTTTTTTGCGAAAGATCCCCACCCCGTTAATATCTTACGTCAATAACTTTCTTCGATTTAATATGAATCGTGTCTCCCTTGTAGGATAGTAGTCTCTCTGTTTTCCGTGTATTCGACAGTTACAAAGCTTTTGATATTAAATTTCTTTTTTCAAGGATTTTCAAGAATTCTTTCTTATTTACGATAGAGTTATATAAAGTTATATTAAATATGTAATGTAACAACATTCGAAATTCGTACTTGTAATTAAAATTATTTAAAATTTAAAAGTTATTTATAATAATAAATATAATTATTTCGATAATTAATTAAAGTAATAAGTTTATGCAATATGAAAGATTAAAAGGCTACTAACGTTAATGCTAAACGATGCTGAAAGAATTTTTTAAAAAATTGTTTTACGATTCTTCGAAACGTAACTTTTCTCTCTCTCTCTCTCTCTCTCTCTCTCTCTCCCTCTCTCTCTCTCTTTGGAAAGGCTGGAAATAATTCTATCGCCAGACATGTGACCGGATCATTACAGAAAGTGACCGAATTTTTTGTGTGTTCATGCGATATCTCTCGTTCGTGCGGCCAGCTGTAAAAAAAAGTAATCTGAGAAACTGCTATATCAGGTGATCGGTTATATTAACATTGTTACATTACGATACGCGAAAATGTGAATTTGATATTCGAAAGATAACAATAATGAATTGGACAGACTTCGTCAAGAAATTGGAATCGTTGTTTTTTTTTTTTTTCTTTTTATCCCAAGTCATTCGTATTTTAGAGGATTTAATCATTATGCAAATAAAGTGACGCAGCGCAATCGAACGAAAAAACATCGAGACGATTTTATACGGGACTACATTAGGAAATTCCAAGATGGATCAAGAATTCATCTAGTGTTTTCCACTGCGCGAACAAACTCTTCTTTCCATTCTTTTTTCTTCCAATTAGTGAATTTCTACGATATCTTCTTCAACTGGCGTGAGTCAAAAAAAAAAATCACCTCGTCAAAAAAATTTGTATAAATTTCATCGCTCGTGATCGCTCCAAAAAAGAAAGAACCCACGTTTCAGAACGATTACAGACAAATATATGAAATAATTATGGGGTGAAGTAATGCTGAATGGATTTTCATCCCGACTACACCCTTTCGTTCGAAATAATCAATCGACGTAACGTATAAATCTCCTAGGTTACAAAACAGATCTTCTTATTCTCCTTATTAAGCGTACTTCCAAAAAGCAATCCCAACCTACGTTTCCACTTCGTAACGTAACTTACTTCTCTCTCTCTCTCTCTCTCTCTCTCTCCTCTCTCTCTCTCTTTGGAAAGGCTGGAAATAATTCTATCGCCAGACATGTGACCGGATCATTACAGAAAGTGACCGAATTTTTTGTGTGTTCATGCGATATCTCTCGTTCGTGCGGCCAGCTGTAAAAAAAAGTAATCTGAGAAACTGCTATATCAGGTGATCGGTTATATTAACATTGTTACATTACGATACGCGAAAATGTGAATTTGATATTCGAAAGATAACAATAATGAATTGGACAGACTTCGTCAAGAAATTGGAATCGTTGTTTTTTTTTTTTTTCTTTTTATCCCAAGTCATTCGTATTTTAGAGGATTTAATCATTATGCAAATAAAGTGACGCAGCGCAATCGAACGAAAAAACATCGAGACGATTTTATACGGGACTACATTAGGAAATTCCAAGATGGATCAAGAATTCATCTAGTGTTTTCCACTGCGCGAACAAACTCTTCTTTCCATTCTTTTTTCTTCCAATTAGTGAATTTCTACGATATCTTCTTCAACTGGCGTGAGTCAAAAAAAAAAATCACCTCGTCAAAAAAATTTGTATAAATTTCATCGCTCGTGATCGCTCCAAAAAAGAAAGAACCCACGTTTCAGAACGATTACAGACAAATATATGAAATAATTATGGGGTGAAGTAATGCTGAATGGATTTTCATCCCGACTACACCCTTTCGTTCGAAATAATCAATCGACGTAACGTATAAATCTCCTAGGTTACAAAACAGATCTTCTTATTCTCCTTATTAAGCGTACTTCCAAAAAGCAATCCCAACCTACGTTTCCACAGTGATCGAGTTTCATCAAGCGGGATCGATACCCGATTTTCACGATTAATTAAAGCCATCAGACTCGGTGAATTTCAAATTCGTACGGTTGATTTCGAACAACACGAACGATCCTGTATGCACATTTGCCTCGTTATACATATAGAAAGACGAGCTGGCTATAGTATTAAAAGAGAGAGAGAGAGAGAAAAGAAAAAGAAAAAAGAAGAAAAAGAAAGGGTTCGTTCGTAGAAGGAATTTATGCAGAAGGAACCCTCTTGGAACCCTCTTTGTCCGGGGACGTCGCATACCGACATACCAGATTGTTCGCCGAGATTCTGATCAGCGTAGTCCCTCCTCTCTCGTTCACCTTGTTCTTATTAGGCCGATTGTTATTTTGTACTGTTAAACAGCTGATGATTCATTACCTTGATCGGAATAAACCGATTTTTCTAACCCCTTAGACAGCGGATAATATGTTTAGTGTTACAAGGACTGTTGCACCTCCAACAATGTTAATTGACCGTCATAGTCGACTGTATTTCTACCGAACCAGTCGTGAACGTGACTCTGTCTTCGTACCTTCACCTGGAAAAAAAAAAAAAAAAGGAAAAAGAATGAAAAAATTCTGCCGTGCGCGCAACACATTTGCAAAAAAACATTCGTTCCAGTGCAAAGCTTTCGAGAAGGGAAGGTTGTTCCAAATTTGGAACAGTATTTCTACTTTCGAGCATTCCAGTGTTCCTAGTCGACGGGCGTTTTAGGTGAAACCGGTGTACGAGGATGCAGGTGTGACGATCGTTGATATATGGATCTCGATCTGTGTGCAATCGTGTAAAATGGAATGGAACTGGATCGAAAGATGGAAATTGGATTTTTCGAGGATACGACGGAGCCCGTAGTTGGGATCCCGCAAGAAAGTGTACCCCCGCTTCGCTGTACACGTTGCATAAAATGGTTTCTCGGCCGATTTCGACACCGGAAACTGGCTTTGTCCTTTTTTCCCTTCTTTCCAACGTACACGGTCCGTTTGTTACGCGCTCGAGATGGGCTCGTTCCTCACGATTGCGTAACAGCTATGCGTACGAAACGAAACGAAATCGTCGAAAATTCCACGTTCGAATTTCGCTGGGTTGTTTAAAACCTAACAACTGGTTTCTCGATTGTTCCCGCGTTTATGGATCAACGGGTAAACCGAGAATAAAAGGAAAAAAAAAGAAAAAAAAGAAAGGAAAAAAAGAACGATTCTCCGGGAAGGACTTTATGCAGTCGGTATATTTCCCTTTCGAATTTCAATGTTAACCGATTGATTTGATTTATGTATTTAATTGACGTGTGATTTATTGTTAAACGTAAAATCGGCCCAATAATGGAATTCTAATAATATTAGAAAATTTTGACATTTAACAATGACGAGGAGTGTGAAATCAGTGTCATAAATTATTTTACAAGGAATCTGTCGAATTGTTTCTTCTTCAACGCGTGCATTTCCTTTCTCTGTTCAAAATAATTATTTGAAAGTGGCGAAAGAGTTCGGATTTATTTGCAATTTTTAAATTTCAACAAGCAGATAAAACGTGCAATTAAAAAAATCATTCGAAACAGCCCCAATAATTAAAGATGGAAAGTGATAAAATGAAAAATAAATTCCGTCATCCGTATATAATGAATAGAACATAAACGCGAGATGTAAATCTTTATAGCAATTTGTTCCATTTACATCGGGCAAAAGGGGAGACGGTTGCGCGATCGCGCGTGCAAAGGCATACCAAAAAATTTCACGTGCGTGTTACGGTGGCTCCCCCTATCGTAACGATCTACGACACCGTTTATTGTCATGAAAATGAGCATGATCGGCCCCTCATTGCGCGACAGCACGGCGACGAATTTCACCCGACCGACCAGTTTTATCGAGAATGAAAGGAATTGTGTTTCTATCGAGAAAGAAAGTTCGTTGCGTCGTTCAATCGAACATCGACACTTTTACGAGGGAAATTCGATCGATTGTCCAACCGGACAACGTGAAATTTCAGAAATATCGTCATTCTTTCTTGATCGAGTTTCGATCGTTCGTAACTTTCTTTCTACGAAAAAAAAAAAAAAACAAATCATCTTTTTGGCTTTTGAAATAAAGTTAAGAATATCTATCCGCGATATACAAACAGAACTCGACTACTTTTACTACTATCCTGTTATTTGTTATTTTTAAACAACTTTCCATCACACGATTGATGGATTGATATAGCAGAAACGTTATTTCATAATATATCTGTATATTTTCGTAATTTCCTCTAATTTTACGATTTGAATACATTAATATCGAATTTCGAGATCGATTTCTATAAATTATTATTTTTATGTTACGACATAATGAGACAGGGATCTTTTAAATGATATCGATGGGAAAGCAAGCAAGAAATTTGGACGAAAAAATAATGAATTTGAAAAAAAACGTGTCGATAACTTTTTATTACAATACAAAGATTGGATGAATAAAATTTATGATAATACGGTAGAATGTCATAAATTATTGTCCAGTGTTAAACTGCAACGAGAAGAAAGGAAGAAAGGAGATCGATGTCTTAAAATCTTAAAATCAATTATCACAGTCGAACATTAATTTCCGTCGAATGAAACGTAACAACTGTGTAACAACTGTACCGGATATTTGTGAAAGGAATTTGCTTTTCATTTATCTGGAAAATCCTTCGTACAAAGTGAGCGTTGTCACTTCGAAATGAACGAAATTAATCGGACGACACAATCGCGTTAAATAGACGAGAAATGTAAAGTTCAAGACACGCACACTGCGAAAAGAAAACTTGTTTCGCGTTTACTTACGCGCATAGGAATAACAACATAGGCTTTACATAATTAGTTATTATTAATTAGAATGTTATTCAAGTTTTCGATTGTTAAAAATGATTGTATATTGGTTAATTATATAATAACGATGAATCGTTGAATAATTCGTCGATAAAAATTATGATAATACCACAATAAAAAGACGATAATATACGAGACACTGAGAAGCCGAACTTGTAATTTCTTAATTTTTATATCATAATACGTATTTAACTCTTTAAAAACGTGTATGCAATTAACTTGGATGGAATTAATGAATTCAATTTTTTCTGTCCGAGTTGTACGCGTGTGAAAAGATAAAAAGAACTTAATAGTGGCTTTTTTAAGAATGTTTCTTCGATTTTAAATTTCTCATAAATTTTCTTTAATGTCTCAATGAAAGAAGACGCGTCTTCTTGTGGATTTCGTCAATCAAACAGTCAATCTTCGTTTTTAACTGTTTCGAGATGAAGATGAAATTTATTTATTTAGAGAGAGAAAGAGAGAGGAAATTAAATCTGAAATTTCAATTATTTCGAATTTGCATAGGGAAATAATAATAAGTGTACGTGCGACAAGGTCGACAATTAGGAACCACGCGTTAATTAACGTAATATGTCGTAACATGATCGGAATGTACGCAATGGATAATGACACGAGAAGCATACTTTCTAAAAATTAATAATGATTTACATGCGTTCTTCAAAAGTGAACGTGGATATTTCACCGTGAGATGTGAACTCAAGTATTCATTGGTTTTATACATACCTTGCAATCTTGAAGTATTCGTAATATCGTTACACTTTACACAAATTAGACTAAACGTTAAATTAGTTCTAAAAAAAAAA